TTTTCACCCCGTGTTTATGGTGGTAATAGTCAGTGATGGAAGAACTGCAAGAGATTTAGATTAATGGGGTATTAGTTTAGAGTTCCTGCCCAGTTTACATACCTCCAAGTTCCAAATGCATTGCAAAAAATTATCTACATCATTTGTGTGTGCAAAATTTGGGCTGGATATTTCCTTAGGAGAATGCTATTTGATAGTAGGTCTGGTGATTCTTTTTCTGGAACTAAACTTGCAGTTGAGTTTAAAGGATTGGGAATGAGAGTGTGCGTGAGGAAAGGCTACGCAAGGAAAGATGTAGCATATCTTTCTGTATAGCCAAGTCACAAAATATAGCAATATGCAGTTGCCAAATTATTGAGCTTTATGTTAGGGGACCTGAGAGACAGGGATCTTGACGTCCTCAAGAAACTTTAAGAAAACTTGTTATTTATTATTCTGTATATATAAAAAAAAACCCCTGCTCTATCAAGTCTGTTTACTCTAAGATAATTTTCTTTGTTTCCTTCATGAAGAGTCAGTGTTTGTGCTTCTCTTAATCCAGATTTTAGGGGCACTACTTAGAGATGTTTATACTCTTTACCTAGCACTGATGTGAGGGGTATTTCAGGTGAGCAGGACACAAAACTTTGCATGGGAGATTTTCTTATCAGCAAATGCTGTTTCACTGAAAGCAAAAATTTCTCCCCAGAAGGTGTTAATTTTTTGTGAAGAATTATGACAAAAATGTCTTTAAGATAAGATCAAAACTTTAACATTTCTAAAGCAATCTGGTTTCTTCTTTTTGGAATGACTCCTCATTTTAAAATCAATTTTCACTTCCATAGTGAAACATGGTCTCCAAAGTCAAAATCAGTAGAAAAAAAAACAGTATTTATTCACATTCCAACTCAAAACAAATAAAATGTGACAGTTCCTTATGGAATGGACAGTTTGAGGCTGAACTTGCAGGAATTATCTCTTCATCTGAATGTTTCTGCTGTCTTCCCTTGGTTCCAAGTAGAGGCAATGAAGATGTTGCAGCGGTGAAGTTCACATCACCAGTGGGTTCTGAAGGAGAACCGCTTGTGCAGGCTATGCCACAAAGAGCACGAACCTCATGTTGCGCACGCGGCTCTGCATCGCTAGGTGGTTTGGGCTTAGAGCATAATGCTGTATTGGCTGCTAAACTGTGCTTAAAAGTATTGCAAAGCAGATCACCTAGTGTTAGGGCAAAATATCTAGTCCCAACTCGTGACACAAAAGTGCATCCATGTGTAAAAATGCACAGTTTGATAGAGACCAGGGGAGTTCTTAAAAACTGTGGGAAGGGGCAAAGGAAGGGGAAAAGGTTTGTGGCAAGCTTTTCTTCAAACTTGTTTGCTCATGCTTACCTTGGATGCATTGCCAGTGCCTCTGGCCAAGAGATTATCTTGCCTGTGTTTGAAATTGCCTGAAAATTGAAGAAGCAAATGATTACTTTAGTCTTGGTTAAAATGCTGACCTAATTAACCTTCTAAGTTGTATTATTCCAGTGCTTTCTACAAAGGAAATGAAGGTAAAAACATTGGCATGAATTTCCCAAATATCTGCAACATTCATCTCCCATTTAGGATCTGAATGGGGTGGAAGGACTCTTCCTCTTTAGAAAGACATTAGACTACAACATCGCTAGCTTGTAACACTGGAGTTAGTAAATAAGCTAGTATCCTCCTATCTTAAGAAATTGTAGCATGCTGCTCATAAAATGTAACTTTAGACCTGTACTGCCCTACATTTTGGAGGGACTGTTATGTCTCTTAAATCAGGCTGTGCACGCACCTAGTTTTTGGCCAGGATGTCTATGTGAACTTCAGGTAATAATACAGAGCATTAAGCACAGGCTGTGGACAAAGCCGGTCAGTGGTGTGGGATGTTATCCTAGCTTTATTGGTCAAAGTGGAACTCCAAACCTTGCTGGCAGGAAGTCTGTAAAAAGGCTGAAATTGAGCCTTCGTTCTGTGTTGATCAGCAACGTTGCATCTGCACAGGGAAAACTATGGAGATCTTTCTGGACAAGCTTATCATACAGAATGCCAAAACAGTCATAAGCAATCTTTCTTGTTCCTCGCCTTGATCCAGTGTTCAGTAATACTGGATAACTAAAAAGTACCCATGTCTTGCTATGGTAATTTTCTAAGTGTGCTGTTGTCACACATAGCACCACTGATTTACAAAGCTTTCTGAGTTTTAGTGCACTTCTCTTTCTTTCCCTTCAGTTTGGCTTTCTTAGTTCCTATGTTTTCCTTCTGTCATCATTTCTGCCCTTGACGTTGCCCTCTTTACAATAAGAATTTCTCTGCATGTGCTCTTCAAGAACTCTTCCCAGTGGGCTTCTACCCCTCTACATCCATCTGCTAATGAATTACATGGGAAATAGTTAACGTTGACATTCCCAAATGTTGTCCAAAGGTTTTTCAGTTAAGCTGAGTCACAAAAATGGTTGCCATTACTTCAGGTTTTCTGTTGCTGATTCTAGAGTACAACTCTGTGTATGTTAAATGGAAAGTGAAGCTATTTTTTGCAGCCATAAACATTAGAGAATTTCTTTCAAGCAAAAGCTCAAATTTCATGATACCTATCACATGCTCCATCATTAAGGCACACGTCCGACGCTGTTGCAAAAACCGATCAGCTGTCCTCCTGAACATACTCATTTTCTGTGCCACTGTAGGCAGGACTGTGGTAGATTTTAAACTCTGTTCCAGAGGCTCTGAGTCCCAGCCAAGGTCCTGCAGAGCTGGCTGAATTTTTCCTTTTAAAGCTTGTTCTCATCCCCAGATGACTTTGTGCAGCACTGGCTGGCAGCGGCAGGTGGGCAAGTGCCTAGTCGTGCCACAGGGAAGGATCACCGAAAGAACTGTTTCATCCTTCGTGGCATGGGATAGCAATGCTGTTGCTCTAGGTAATCTGAACCTGCAAGGCTTTCCTCCATAGCACTGAGATAATACGCTCGAAGAGCTGGGTCCCCAGCATAGGCGATATTTGTCAATCCAGTTTGCATTTGCATCTGCGAGTTGGAGGATGTTTAATCAGCCTCAGTTTCTTTGCTATTGTCAGGCAAACGCTCACCTTGGCATTTCTATGTGATTCCGTACAATCTCAGGTGCAACCTGGAGACTTCTTAGTAAGGCTTTTATTTGTAGGAGTGACTTCTCTTCGTGATCCATAAAAGCTTTACGTGAGAAAAAGAAAGTATTTCCTGCATCTAATAAAATGTCTTTATAGGCCTTTCCTATTCAGACAGGGTAAGATTTGCCTGTTCAGCACTACCTTATCATCATTTTGATCTGTTAAATTTATTTTTACACTGTTTTTTGTAATAATTCCATGGGAATGTAGCAATTGCTAAATCAATGGCAATCATTAAATATTTGATGATTCTATGCTGGTGAGCTCTGGAAAGCAGAGCTGCATGCCCCCTGCTTTTCTGTTACCCACATCTTTAGCTACTGCATTCAAAGAGTCATTTGGTACACTCTGACATTGAGGTAAATGTAGAAATTACTCCCAAAATGGCAGTTACTCTGGGGGAAAAACTAGTGTGAGATTGTAGTGAAACCTAATCCAATACCTTTGGTTTACTAGTGGGTAATGTTTTCCTTTTAGTGATTCTTAGTGAAATGCTTCACGGAGGAGCTGAAAGCTGGCAAAAAATATTGTCTTTGAAAATTTGGCTCCAGCTGATTTTATACCTAGAAGCAGAACTGTGGATGATCTGCTACAACTGGTTAATTAAATCCTGTGCTGTTAGCCCTCAATTAGGTTTGCATTAAATTGCAAACCTTGCTAGCAGAGTTGCTGGCCAAATATGGAGACATTCCATATATCATTCTGACTACTTTATATTTGGGCTCTTAAAGAATGTATGCAGCTTGTCTAATGAAGTGTCTGTATGTACGAGAGGAAGAAAAGAAACAGATTTCGGATCTCTCCGTTGGTCTGTCTGCCTGTGTGTCTGTTCAATGAGTGGGGCAAAACTCCCCTTACTTTTTTCTTTTTTTTAATGTTTCTTGGACTCTTACCAGCAGGTTTTTACAGTCTGTTGCCTGCCTCTCAGATTAGAAGAACACTGGCATATTTTAACAGTTTCCTAGGATCCAAATAGTCTTTAATTAACAGGGAATTGATGTTTTGGAGTGCAACCAAAACATGGGAGACATTGGAAGCAGAGAATGGGCTTGGATCCTTCCAGCTTTTAGCTGGCTGTGGCAAGCGGCAAACAAAGAAGTAAAATAGGGTCTGCTGCAAACAGGTAGCGACTTATTGGTATGCAAGGGGATTTCTTCATTTGCATTATGTTCCCACAGAACTGGTGGCTGGTAGTGTTAGCCGGGAGGAGCTTTCTGCTGTACAAAGTCTGAATCAGCTCCACCCCTTGCAAGAGCTGAAAGTGCTTGTCGGTACCTTTCCATAAACTGAATTTTGGTGGCTGCTGAAATGGTTCTTAATTTAAATTCGTATTGACCAACTGTTTGAGGCAGCAAGGTATGTTGTGTTTGCTAGGCTTAGGTTGACTCTGAAGCTGTAAGCTCCATGAGTGAGCATTTAATTAAAAAAATCAAAAGTCTACAAATGACATGACTTTTGCTGAGCCGAAGAGCTAGCTGTTGTTCATTTTCTCTGGAGCAGTTTGCATTAGGAGGGTTGAGCAATAGGGCTGGCATGAAACACTGAAATTATAGCAGAATGAGACTAGCTGAAGTTCTAAAGGGAAGTCAGGCATATGCTGAACTATTGCTCCAGATAATCCAGGGAGAGAAATGGTTTATTAGCTAATTTTAAATAATGATAGATTGATACCTGAAGCAATTACTGGCAAAGAATTGTAACCAACAGTCACTGAGTCAGCTGTGCTCTTTTTCGGTAATGCAGTAATTTGTTGAGAAATAAAAATGTATTTGTTTAATCCAATATTGCCTTTTTATTCTTGCTTTTTTGTGCTGGCTTCTCCCCCTCCCACCTTCCTTTTCCTCTAATCACAGTACTTGCTGAACGCCTTCTCTCTCTTTCTGCACCCAGGTGGTACATGCCAGAGCCCTGCCCTTCCAGCCCTAGTGCGTCCTCCTGCTCCACCTTTGCAGCCGTCGCTGGATATTAAACCATTTCTTCCATTTCCTCTGGACACTGCCGCAGCAGTCAATCTCTTCCCCAACTTCAATGCAGTAAGTGCGCTCCTAACAGTTACTGTCCACTTCACTGAGCCACGGTTTCCATGGAAGGCTCAAGAGGGCACAAAGTAGAATTTTATTTACTCAATTAAACCTGGAATATCCTCTCCCTTACTGAGGGCCGAATAGCTCTTTCAGACACACTGGTAGGCCATAAATTAAACCTTAGCTGAGTGTTAGCCGGAAATAATGTAGAAGGAAAAAATGATATGATCCCAACTGATGCGCAATAAAGTTGCAGGCCATATTCGGTCCCAGGGCTTGTGAGTTTTCCACTCTAATTTAAGATGTGTGGAGTTTCACTAGCCTACAGTTTGCTGCAACTCTCAGAGAGTGAAACTCTCAGAGTGATTGCATTCTACATTCCGTCTCCAATAGGCTTCCTGAGAAATACTTAAAGTTTACAAATTGGAGTGGCTACAAAAGATAAAACTGTCAGAGCAATTAAAATAAGAATGAGAACAGCATAGCTGATATATAAGCTATTCATTGGCAAACAATGCAGTGTATTTTTTTCAGGTTAGGGTATTTTATTTCTCATGCCTTAGGTTAAAACAAGGTTAGATTTCTCTTTAATAATTTTTTACTTAGTCATAGTATCTATGACTGCAGAAATCTTATTCCTTCTGTGATATTTTCATTATATTACTGACATATGTCACAAATGTTTAAATTTTCCTGTTTCTGGCTGAGATATTTAATGCTCTTAAAAAAAAAAAAAAAAAGCCTAAATTGGTTTTATGTTAATTTTGACTTTATAGAATTATGTCCCTTTTTAATTTGAAGGTACTCTATGAAGTTCTTTTCCTTATTTACATATACTAGACAGAGAAAAAAAATTAAGTACATGTGTGCTTACCTACTTTGAGAGACAGAGGGAGGGGTGGAAATTGCCATGCCAAAACAATTCTAATTAACATGCAAAAATCTTAATTGCAATAATTAAGAGTAGTAAAAGAACATGCCCATTCTAGAAGCAATCTGTAGTAATCAATAGCAAATTTCCATAATTAAATGTTCATTTATTTACCTTTTATGGATGTTCATTTTGCTTTAAAATAATTAAAATTAACTGTCAAAATATTTATTTATGCAGTCTTAAATTGAGGCAATTCACAGCATCAATAGAGATCACAAAAGCTATAAGCTGCAAGTCTTAAAATGCTCAGAAACAACATGTCAACGAATTATTACAAAGAAACTTTTTATGACAAAGAAACTTTTCCAAATTTTAAAATGTATATACATATGCAGTAAAGTTTTTAAAAGCGCTGGTTTTAACCAAGTTACTGATAACTTGTAATGAAATGGATAAACCAGTAAACTTGTTTAATATACTTTAGGTTTTTTTCTTACCAGTTTTGCTTTGTGATCATTGTTTGTATTTAATGCAATAGGCCAGCTGAATTTTTATAAGTTGTCTGTTAGAATTTCTCTTTTTTCAGGATTTTCCATAGTTCAGAGTCTTCATGTTGTTTTACTAATTGTTTAACTCTGGATAATTCAAATGCAATTTTAATGATGAATTTTAATAAATAATTGGTAACCTTGTGTTGTTCCCTAAATTTGCACTTTCTTTTTTCTTAAAGAAAAAGTCTCAAAGACTGATTTCATACTATAATTATATTGAGGGAGAGGTGGGGGAGGATGTACTTGTATTAATTTGAAAGTAAGAAAGTAAAAACAGACTCCTATCAAAACCCTGCTATTCCTGAACATCATCTTAGTTGTGTATCGTTTGGTCTAAGCACTGTAGCTGGACTTCACAAACTCCTCATCTCTTCAATTTTTCAGTAAACTGAGCCTAGGTTTCAAGAGTGAGACTAGCAGCCCTTTTTAACAGGACTCTGAAGTTCATTCCCGTGCAGAGTACTGCTTCCTGCGATGGGTGGCTGTCTGCCGAGTCCACCTTTGCTGAATATGCCCGTCCTGACTGTGAGGATGCTGTCATCTGAGCTGCTGTCACCTGACTTGCTGCTCATCATCCTTGCCTTGCAACATGACCTTTGCCTTTTCATCATGTGTGCTGGCATGCAGCAGCATCATCAGTGTTCCCATTTTCATTCTGAACAGTACATTATTGAATGCTGCTATGTTTAGCTCATATGCCAGAGCTGGTTAATGGGGTCCTCCAAACATGTAGGCTAGCTGAGAAGTTCTGCATATTTCCAGAAATTCTTTCAAAGCTGATGAATCTTTTGGGGACGCATCAGCTGCTGCTGAGCATTATCAGCCTAAGGAGAAGGTAACCCACAAGTCATATTAGACTTTAAACAGGATGTCTGACAAGACCTTTAAGTATGTGAATGTTAGACAAAAACCAAATGTTTAACAAAAATTTATCTTCCTAAATATGCATGCTCATGAACGATTGTAGCTGTTGATAATGCTTTATATTAATTGACTTCAGTGGCAATCCTATGCAGTGTCAGTGGAGAAACATTTACATTCTGTGGCTAAACCAATGTCAAGCAGGTGGTCAGTGAAAGACCCAGAACTCTGAACATCTGAACTTGACGTTCTCTCTTGTGTTGTCAATAAATTAGCTTTACCCTTGATTGAGACATCAAGGTCATAGATTTGTGTCTTAGGAAATGGATTTCTAAAGACCTCTTGACCCTTGCACAATACTTCAGAAACTATTGAGTTTGGCAGCATGTCTGAGCTACTTCCCAAGATACTAGAAGGAAGTCCAGAGTTTTGGCCATTTATTTATTTACTGGCCACTTTTCAACAGCCTTCACTTGAGAAGAGCATGATCAAGGAGAAACTTGAGTAAAAATTGTCATGTTTCAGAGAAAAGAAGTGATGTCTGGTTACGGCAATCCTAACTCGAGATTTTGCTTGTGATAGGCATAGGCATCTGAGCTCATCAGCCTAAATTTATTTGCAAAAGATAGTGGAGAAAAATGAGCAATTTATTCCGTTGTTTTAAATGAGAAAAATACACAAAAGTAGGTTGCAATGCAAGCACTTTATGTCTACTTTGGCATGAGGTGAAGTGAACCCTGAAAGTTCCCGTTCATCTTGCTGACTGTAATGATGGACCGGCTCAGCTGCATATAAGTTTGGTTAGATGAATCCCACATTATGGGACAGGTCATAAGCTGTTCACAGCTGATATATTAAATTCCACTCAAAAATCAGATGACAGAAGTGCTGACATTGTATTGTATGTTTACAGAGGAATGCTCCCATTTATCAAGCAATTATGCTTCTAATTTTATCTAAAGACAGCCTTAAGGGAATTTGAGGATCCAGATGAACTGGATAGAAATATTAGGAGAGTTTAAAGCAAAAGTAATTTACCAATGGAGAATCTCAGGCGCATATACAAGAACTAACAAACCCAAACACTGATCTTAAGTACCACAAATAATAATAGTAAGGTCTTGTATTTTATACCATTTTTTCACTCTCAGTTTATTGCAAACATAAGATTACTTTCTTTGTTACTGATGATTTTGGTCTTAAGCTAGTTCAGTTTTTGCTGGCCACCTCTGAGGAAAACATTCAGCTCTGATTTCTACAAAGGCAAAAGCTTTATTGGAGCAGAGACTAGAAGAGATAACATGGGGGTGGGGGGTGGGGAGGTGCAAACCTTTATCAGTAATAACTCTGGACACTGAGGAGAGGAAAAAGTAAAAAGTTAGTAACCTGAGAAATGGAAGGAGATAACATGTGAACCTTTGAACCATTCAGTTTCTCGAGGAGCATTTTCTATTTATACAAGAAAGCATAAAGCAAACATACCAATTAACAATCTGGTTAGCTGAACATTTGTAGGTGCTATGCTCTTAATTGTGAGGCAAATGGGTACCCTCAAGTCGTATGTAAAAAGAAATTTTAACAACACAGCTGTTTAAACTGAAAACAGCCCAATGGTGCAGACCCTGAAGAATCACAAGTTCATTGCAAGTTTATCTGATATAAAAAGATCAATCAAGTGAATAGGATTTAAATGGCTACATTTTATGAATGAAAGAAACTGTGACCATAAACAGTGTTTATATGGCTTTTTAAAATATGTTTTGAAGATTGTCAGAGAAATAGAAAAATAATTGTCTATTCTGAAAAATGTTTGAGATCATTTAGCAAACATTTAGTATACTTCTGCTTTATCATCTGCAGAGTGACAAGCTTTAAGACTGTGCTTCTAAGAACTGCTTCTTAGAGACACAGAGCTTTAGCAGTTGTATTGAATACATGCTGGTCCACGAGTGCACGTGAAAGTGCATATGTTGTGCTTCTGTTCATGAGCCAGTGGTTGGTTGCAAAGACATTTCATACAGAATCAAAGTCTAGAAGTTAATTAACTTGTAGGAAAATGTTGATATGAGTCCCTGGACTAAGACAAAATGCTTCATTTTTGACATTAGTGTCAGCCCTAAGTGACCCTCCCACAGAAAAAACCCCTCAGATCTTTTTTTATGCCTCATAGTCTCCAAAGTCCATCATCCTCAAAGCACAGATGCATCAGAAACCAGGTTTTGGTTATTTCTGAAGCTCTCAGAATTACATATTTCAGCCTCTTGAGAGACAGATTTTAAAGTTTACAAATGCAGGATATTTGCTCTTATTAGGTGAAAAAATCAGACAATGCATTGCACTCCTTTTTTGTTTATTCTTTGATGGATATGCTAACCATTTTCCTGAAAAAAATCTAAAAAATACTATATCACACTTTGTAGACTGTAGTATGAGCATAATCTGTAGTGCAAAAGTTCCACAATGTGGAAGATCTAAGCAAATGCTTGTAAGCAGAAATAGGGATGTTGCTGGAAAAGCTCCATCCTAACTCCAAACTAAAGCCTGATCTCCCCTTGTTGCCAGTGGAAAGTTTCCCAAAGAAGCATCCTTTGGAAGGAAACATGATTGCAGTTTTGACTAGAACGTTGTGACTTGGAAGAGCAGCAGCAATGTCAGAACTGTATTAAAACCTAGATGGAAAATGAACTATTACTCTACAGACATATCTTTCTCATGATCCATCT